GTCTCTCACTCAACACTGACACTCTTGCAGATTACTTTTCTATTATACAAACATTTACTCAGTTTCTCTACAAAGCATTGTTGTAGGCCTCTATCCTGACTTCCCTTAGGCTGCTCTAAGAGGTGATCTGGTGCTGGGTAGTTATGGTGCACGCCTTTAATCCCAGCACTCGGGAGGCTGAGGCAGGTGGATCTCTGTGAGTTTGAGGCCAGCCTGGTCTACAGATCTTGTTCCAGGACAGTAAGGACTGTTACACAGAGCAAACCCTGACTCAAAAACTAAATGAAAATAAAAAAAGAGGTGAGTTGGTTTAGGTAGGGTTGTTGTCTATACAGAAAACAATGTGGGGTATGCCTGGGGTGTGTGTGTGTGTGTGTGTGTGTGTGTGTGTGTGTGTGTGTGTGTGTGTGTGACTGATGTCTCTAGTCCGGCTGACCTTCTCAGGGACATCAGCCCCTTCTCAACTCACACCTCATAACTCACACTGGGCTGCTCTCCAGTCTCATCCGGGTTTTCCTGTTCCCACGAATCTCTTACCATTCCACACCAGTTCTCTCAAGGGACTCTTCACCCACTCCTGTTCACCCATTTAGAACTGCGGTTGGTCCCTATTGTGTATCTCACACCAACATTATCCATGAGGAAGCTAACAGTGACTTCATCTGCAGGACACGTGCCCATTTCCCAGGCTTCCATACACAGTGGCCCGTCTCATTCATTCCCATGCTTCTTAGTCTCAAAGCCTTCCTTCACCGCCATCACCATGCCAACTCCCAAGTGTTCTAGAAGTTCTAAACCAGCAGCACACAAGTCTCTTTGAAATCCACCGTGCTCACACTGGCTCCCGGCTCAAGGCGGCATCTGGAACACCCACTTCCTCCATGTATTATTTTGGAAGGCGGTCACAACAAAGTACACAGACTTGGCAGGTCTACACAGCAGAAAGCTTCCCCTCAGTTTCCCTCGGGCCAGAAGCCCAAGGTCAGGGCCTTTCTGAGGTTGGTTTCTCCTGAGGTTAAATTCTTGTTTGTATTCCTGGTTTCTGCACATTCTTCTGCTAGTCTATCACTGTTCCTTTCCAAAAAATAATATTTATTTGTATGTACACATGTGTGCGTGCGTGCGTGCGTGTGTGTGTGTGTGTGTGTGTGTGTGTGTGCGCGCGCGTGTGTTCTAACCTGTTTTCCATCTAAGAACACCAATCAGATTGGTTTACCCATATGAGTCTCCCTGTATGATCAAACTTCATTTTAACTATCTCTTTAAAGGCACTATCTCCACATACAGTTACCATCTAGGGTACTAGCAATTAATATGTTTTTTCTAGACAAAACAAAAATGAATATGTATACATTTGCGACACAAACTTAGGAAGAGGGCCCAGCTTGTTCCACAGCACTCCACAGAAGGCATGTAGCTCAGCTGCTTTTCAGTCATTGGTTCAGACAGTTTTCCCACTTCTACATGGCTTCCTGGACCCATTTACCACATACTGGACACAAGGGTCTTTCAAAATGTGCAGACCTCCCATGCTGAAGACTGCCATCAGAGCTGCAGAAACAGCTCAGGGATTAAGGGTGCTTACTGCCCTTCCAGGGGACAGAACTCAGTTCCCAGCGCTTACATTGGGTGGCTTAAAACTGCCTGCAAATTCAGCCTCAGGGATTTGACGCCCTCTTCTGGCCTCCTTGAGCACTTGGACATGTGACACACTCACACAAAAATAAAAATACACCTTTAAAAAGCACACTAGACTTTAACCTTTCATAGAGGATGAGCAGAATGAGACAGCACAAACTCTGCAAAGAGTTTTATTTGTGTATAAAGCATGTGTATGTGTGAATGTGTGCACAGGCACGCATGCCCAGGGAGGTCAGAAGAGGGTGCTGGGTCCCTGGAGCTGGAGGACAGAGGTTGGGAGCCTCTGCTCGTGCGTGGTGCTGGGAACCGCGTTCGTTCGGGCTTTTTAAGAGCGCTGACGCCTCTTAAGTTGGGAGGCAGTTTCCCAGCCTTTGTTTGCTTCGTCTGCAGTCAGGCTATTACTCTGTAGGTCAGGCTGGCCTCAGACGTGCAGGGTTCCCACCTTGGCCTCTACTGCTAGACTACAAGCACAGCTCACCACTCCAAACCACTTTTTGTACATACTATGTGGATCCTGGTTGGAACATAGGAGGAAATTATAATAAACATTTATGGATGAATGCTAGGTTTTTGTTTGTTTTGAAGTAGGGTTCATTCTATTTTTCCCAGGCTGGTCTGGAACTCATAGGATCGTCTTGTCTCAACCTCCCAAATGTTAGGATTATGGGTGTGTGCCACACCCAGCCACATGAGTTTGTAGCAGTGAGTGCTAAGTAGCTAGGAGAATTTAGGGTAGTGTATTCCTTAAGAAGCCCCCAGCCAGCCGGGCGTTGGTGGCGCACGCCTTTAATCCCAGCACTCGGGAGGCAGAGGCAGGCGGATCTCTGTGAGTTCGAGACCAGCCTGGACTACCAAGCGAGTTCCAGGACAGCCTCCAAAGCCACAGAGAAACCCTGTCTTGAAAAAACCAAAAATAAAATAAAATAAAATAAAATAAAAAGAAGCCCCCCAGCCAGCTGTTAGGGGCTGCAGAGCTGTTTTCAAAAGTATGGGGACCAAAGCTGGCCGAGCACAGTTGAGAACAATGCATACAGGCTCGTGAATCAGAACAAAGGCTCGGTGAATGAAGAAAAGGGAAGGACTCAGCTGAGGGATTTCCCCGTCTAACCACAACTTCCCCCACAGATCCCACTTCCGGATCCTCAGAGCGCTGTCACCTAAGAACTCACCCAGTTGGCTAAATCTTTGTTTTGAGCCACATTTGATTTTATCTGATTCCATTTCTTCTTTTTGCAATGTTGGGGTTGAACACGGGAGCTCGCACAATACAGGCAATTGCTATAGTCTGGGGCTATGCCCCAGTCCTGATTTAAATTGTTTTAATTACATTTATTACTGTGTGTATGTAGACACGCGTGGTATGGGTATAGAGATGACAGGACCACTTGCAGTTATGCTCTTCTACTATTTGGGTCCTGGGGTTGAAATCAGGTCTGTTGGTCTCGACACCAAGCACCTCTCACCACGGAACCGTCTTGTTGGCCCAGCATTTTCATTTTGTTGGTATTTTTTGCTTGTTTGGTTTGGTTTTGGTTGAGAACAGGGTTTCTCTCTGTAACCCTGGCTGTCTGGAAACTTGGTCTATAGACCAGGCTGGCCTTGAACTCAGAGGTCTGCCTACCTCTGCCTCCTGAGTGCTGGGATTCTTTGCTATTACTTTTGTTTAGAGACAGGAATTCATGTCTCCCAGGCTGGCCTTGGGATCGGTATACAGCTAGCTGAAGGAGGCCTTGAAGTCATGATCCTCCTGCCTCCAGTTCCCCGATTCCGAGGTGCCGGGATCAAACCGCAGCTTTGTGCCTGGGGAGCATTCAACCCATGGAGCTACATTCCCCAGCCCCGGTTTCTTTTCCCCGAGTATTTATTGTCCTTACTTCCCCATGTCCAGACAGCCATTAGGTGGTATAGACTTAGAGGGGGTGGTACGCCGCTTCGAGGGGTCCCAGCACGCCTCGCTCCCAGCACGCCTCTGCATCTGGACTTTCTTCCTCTCTTCAGTGTGTGAGTAGTCTTTCCAGGGCTCTGCTTTACGAGGCTCGCACCCAGCTCGGTCACCTGATGATGGCTGTGTTGCCTATGCCGGAATGGACTGCCTCTCTGTGGTTCTGGCCCCAGGGAGCAGGTCCCTGAGAAACTGCCTTCTGGAGGCGCACAGAGCCCTGGCCAGGGCGCCCCGACTCAGCTGCTCTCTCAGATCACCCGTGCTCCCCAAGCCTCCTCTGCCTCCCCGGCTTTATTTGCTCACGGGAACAACAGGACGCAGCATGTCCACCTTCACCCATGCCTCTGTCTAGTGTCCAGGTTACAGTTCTGTGACCTCCTGAAGAAGAGCTGGGATTGCTGAAGTCCCAGAAAACCATTCATATGACCACACTGTCACATGGTCAGCTGTCCCAACCCAGACCTACTCTCAGCTGACTCAGCTCCCTCCCTCCCTCCCTCCCTCCCTCCCTCTCTCTCCCTCCCTCCCTCCCTCTCTCTCCCTCTCTCTCTCTCCTTCTCTCCCTCCCTCCCTCCCTCCCTCCCTCCCTCCCTCCCTCCCTCCCTCCCTCCCTCCCTCCCTCCCTCCCTCTCTTTCCAAATGGCTTCTATAGGCTGCAGCTACTTTCCAGGGATCGTGTGGCCTGAGGCATGTTCCCAGGCTCCATATCTCACCCCACACTGCACAACTAAATCCAGGTCCTGACAGTTCAAAAACTTCGACAAACGCTTCAGAGATAACTGAGGCACTGAGCAGAGAGCGAGCTTAAGATGGGCATGCAGGCTGCAGCTGACTCAGAGCGGATACGCTGCAGAGGGGCTGTGTCTGTGCCCCTGCCTCGAGGGACCCTCTCCCTCACCCCAGGCACTCAAGGCGTTCACGCTAAGGATTAACTTATCTGTCAGCCAGGATGGGGATTTGCCAAGGGTCTTTCCAAGGCCAGGTGCCGTTTTAGGCACTGCGATGAGAGAGTCTATGAAGGAGACACCACAGTAGAGGTAGGAGTGTTCTGGAGGCAGAGAGAGGAAGACTACAATCTTAGAGACCAGCTTGGTCTATGTAGTGAATTCCCAGACTCTTCCTCAAACAAACAAACCCTTCACATATAAAACAAACAAACAAAATAATAAAAAAATCTAGACAGACCCTGTTTTGTTGTTGTTGTTGTTTTGAGACAGGGTTTTTCTTTGTGTAACAGCCCTGACTATTCTAGAACCCACACTGTAGACCAGGCTAGACTCAAATGTACAGAGATCCGCCTGCCTCTGCCTCCCAAGTGCTGGGATTAAAGGCGTGCGCCACCAACGCACAGCCAGTATCCTTAAACTATATACTTGGCACCATTTAACACAAGATATGTTTTAATTTTAATTTTTTTTATTTTTCATTTTTTGGTTTTTCAAGACAGGGTTTCTCTGTATTGTTTTGGAGGCTGTCCTGGACCTCGCTCTGTAGACCAGGCTGGCCTCGAACTCACAGAGATCCGCCCGCCTCTACCTTCCAAACAGTATTAAAATATAGGAAATTGAGGCTGTGGCTGCATCTTGACAGAACAAACATAAACTGCTTTTGTGCATTGCACAGGTTCTATCAGGGTTCCCTGCAGGACTGTGCTGGGCAGGGTTCCCTGCAGGAGTGTGCTGGGCAGGGTTCCCTGCAGGAGTGTGCTGGGCAGGGTTCCCTGCAGGAGTGTGCTGGGCAGGGTTCCGTGCAGGAGTGTGCTGGGCAGGGTTCCGTGCAGGAGTGTGCTGGGCAGATGCAGAGACAGGCACTTTAGGGTTTGCCTTCTTCGGCTTGGAATCTGTCCTCCTGTTATTGCTGACACAGAGACACCACAACTAAGGAGCAGCACTAACGATAGTTTAAACAAGCCTAGGCCATCTCCCCCACACCATAGCAATGGTACAGGACATTCACATGACGCTTGATGGGATCCACGACAAAGTAAGAGAATGTCTGCTCATGCTCTTTAGTTGAAGGGTAGCACACACCAGTAGAGTCCTGAAAAGACAAGCCTGGGTTATTCAGTGTTCAACTGCATTGAAGCCTTTGACTATCACACATTTTTCTGCCAAGTATCACGAAACACAGGCAGGTACAGTGGCACACATCTTTAATCCCAGGCCTTTGGGGGCTAAGGCAGAAGGACTGAGATTGAGGCCAGTCTGGAATGCACAGCAACATATCTGTCTCAATAAACAAAAGTCATGACACACGTATAAAACTTTTTGATAATAAATCGGCAATAAACTGTCAATAGTATTATTAACAGTACAAATCTATTATACACAAGCACCACAACTGAAACTCTTGCCCTTACGGAATGTTCAATCATATTCTTTTCATGATATTTTTGCTCTTTTGTTGTTCTTTGTTTAATTATGTACCCCAGGTTAGCCTCAAACTCACGGTAACCCTGCTTTGTGTGTGTACATGCGTGTGTGCATATGTGCCTGTGTGTGCGCGTGTGTGCGCGTGTGTGCACGTGTGTGAGTAGTGTGTTGTGTGTGTGCCTATGTGTGCGCATGTGTGGGCATGTGTGTTGTGTGTGTGCCTGTGTGTGCGCATGTGTGGGCACGTGTGTTGTGCGTGTGTGTGTGCCTGTGTGCCTGTGTGTGCGCGTGTGTGGGCGCGTGTGTTGTGTGTGTGTGTGTGTGTGTGTGTGTGTGTGTGTGCGCGTGCGCGTGTCTCCTTCCCTAAGCTGGTTTAGGTCAGGCTTCATCACAAAAGAGAGCAAATGAATACAACAGGCAGTGAGGCACTGCTGTGACATACGTGACCATGTTATTTTGGGGAGGACTGCGGAAGGAGTTTGGAGTTTTGGGCTGGGAAACTGTAGTGGGCTGTTCTGTGCGGGCTTGGAAGAGACACTGAGATCATCAGCCAGCGACCCTTCTTACAGCCTGTGCTTCTGCTCCTGGCTCCAGGTTCCCGCTCGGCCCTCCTGAAGCTACACCTGTCACGTTTGAATTTTATAGCATACTGAGCTTCCCATCTTTTCTCCCAGACATAGCAGTGTTTGGTTCCTAAGCCATGAGTACAGCAACTGCATTAGCAATGAGGAATCAAGAAGCCCAATACTCACGTAGGCCTTCACTTTAAAGACAGAAGAGGTAATTTGTATTTCCTTGGTTCGAGGATGCTTCCGAACACTAAGATGAGGAGAAGAGGCACATTTAAAATGTAACAAACCGGGAGGCCGAGAGATGGCTCTGTGGTTACGAGCACCCACTGCCCTGGCAGGGGACCTGGGTTCAGTGTGAGCACGTGACGGCTCACAAACACCCTTACCACCAGTTCCAGGGGATCTGACGTCCTCTTCTGGCTCCTTGGGCACCAGACGTGCATGTGGTATACATATGTACAAGATGTCCATATAGTAGTTTAAAAAGAGAGAGTGATTGCTGCTTTGGCAGAGGATCTGGCTTTGTAAACCTAGAGGAAGCAGGATTCGACCTCGAGGTGGGAAAGAGCTTTTCTGCAGTGTTTAAGATCTAGAGCTGTCTGTTTCAAATGCTCCAGTGAGCCCTTCCCACCACACACAGCAGTGAGACATTCCACAAGCTCCTGTGGCCGGGCACAGTGGCAGCGTGTGCACGCACGGCGTTCCTGAAAATGTTTTCTTTTTACCTGCTTTCTTTCCCACGGCACCAGCGGGCAGCTTTGCAGTCTTTTCTCCCCTCTCCAGGGACTGAGCACAGGACATGGGCTGGTAGAGCAAGGTCTTTCCCTGCAGAGCCATCTTGCTACTTCCATGTTCCTATGACCTTCCTTTCCTCCTTCTTCCTTCCTTCCTCCTTCCTCCTTTTTTCCTTCCTTCCTTCCTCCTTCCTTCCTTCTTCCTGCCTTCTTCCTTCCTTCCTCCTTCCTTCTTCCTTCCTGCCTCCTTCCTTCCTTCCTTCCTCCTTTCTTCCTTCCTTCCTGCCTCCTTCCTTCCTTCCTTCCTTCCTCCTTCCTTCCTTCTTCCTGCCTTCTTCCTTCCTTCCTCCTTCCTTCTTCCTTCCTGCCTCCTTCCTTCCTTCCTTCCTCCTTTCTTCCTTCCTTCCTGCCTCCTTCCTTCCTTCCTGCCTTCCTCCTTTTTTTTTAAAGATAATCTCACTATGGAGTCTAGGCTGTTTTGGAATCGGTATGTAGACCAGGCTAGTCTAGAACCTGAAGTGATCCTCATGCTTCTCCCTCTTCAGGGCTGGAATTATAGGCATGGCTCCTAATTCCTAACCTTGGAATTGGAATTATGTTGGTTTTTTTTTAAGATTTCCTTATTTATATTTTATTTGTCTGAATGTTTGCCTGTACGCATGTATGTACAGCACATGTATGTACAGCACATGTATGTAGTGCCCAAAGAAGCCAGAAAAGGGCATCAGATCCCTTGGAAGTGAAGTTGCAGGTGGTGGTAGTCAGCCACCATGTGGGTTCTGGGAACTGAACTGGACTCTCTGAAGGAACAGGAGGCTCTCTTCCGTGCTGATCTCTCTCCAGCTTCGAAAAGTTAGGAAGGCAGAAAGGAGGGCAGATTAGAGGAAGAGAGGGCTAAGGGAGGGGGAGAGGGGGGGCCTAATGGAATACTTAAAATTGAGAAAACGGGAGGTACCCTTGAACGAATTGGTACAGGAGACCACTTCCTGAACATAACACCAGTAGACAGACACTGAGATCGACAATTAATAAATGGGACCTCCTGAAAGTGAGAAGCTTCTGTAAGGCAAAGGACACAGTCAACAAAACAAAAATGCAGCCCACAGAATGGAAAAGATATTCACTAACCCCACATCTGACAGAGGGCTGATCTCCAAATTTTACAAAGAACTCAAGAAGCAAGTCTCCAAATCACCAAAGGATCCAATTAAAAAATGGGCTACAGACCTAAACAGAGAATTCTCAATAGAGGAGTCTAAAATGGCTGAGAGGCACTTGAGAAAGTGCTCAATATCCTTAGCCATCTGGGAAATGTAAATCAAAACAACTCTGAGATACCATCTTACTCCTGTCAGAATGGCTAAAATAAAAAACACTAATGACAGTTTATGCTGGAGAGGATGTGGAGAAAGGGAAACACTCCTTCACTGCTGGTGGGAGTGCAAACTCACACAGCCATTTTGGAAATCAGTATGGAGATTCCTCAGGAAAATGGAAACCAGTCTACCATAAGACCCAGCAATTCCACTCTTAGGCATATACCCAAAAAATGCCCATTCATACAACAAGGATGTCTGTTCCACTATGTTCATAGCTGCATTATTTGTAATAGCCAGAACCTAGAAGCAATCTAGATGCCCCTCAACTCAAGATTGGACAGAGAAAATGTGGTACATTTGCATAATGGAGAACTACTCAGAGGAAAAAAACAATGGAATCTTGAAATTCGCAGGTAAATGGATGGCACTAGAAGAAACCATCCTGAGTGAGGTAACCAAGTCACAAAAAGGCAAACATGGTATGTACTCACTCATATATGGATCTTAGACATGGATCAGAGGAGTGCCAGCCTTCAGTCTCACTGCCAGAGAGTCTGGGAAACAGGGAGGACCCTAAGAGATATGCATGGTACCCTAGAGAAGAGGAAGGGGCAAGGTCTCTGAGCTGATTGGGAGCATGGGGGAAGGGGACAGGGAGCTGGAGAAAAGAGAGGGGGAGAAGAGGAGGGGAGAGGAGAACATGCGGGAGCAGGAAGGTTGAGTCGGGGGAAGAATAGAGGAGAGCAGGATGAGGGATACCATAATAGAGGGAGTCATTATAGGTTTGAGGAGAGATCTGGCACTAGTGAGATCTCCAGAGATCTACAAGGATGACACCATCTGGCAAACTAAGCAATAGTGGAGAGGCTACCTTAAATGCCCTTCCCCGATAATGAGATTGATGACTACCTTATATGCCATCCTAGAGCCTCCATTCAGTGACAGACAGAAGCAGAGGCAGACACCCACAGCTAAACACTGAACTGAACTCCTGGAACCCAGTGGCTGAGAGGGAAGAGTGATGAGCAAAGGGGTCAAGACCGTGCTGGTGAAACCCATAGAGATAGCTGACCTGAACAAGGGGGAGCTCATGGACCCCAGACTCGTAGCTGGGAAACCGGCATAGGACTGATCCAGACCCCCTGAATGTGGGTGCCAGTGAGGAGGCCTGGGAAATCTGTGGGGCCTCTGGTAGTATATCAGTATTTATCCCTGGCATACAAAAGAACTTTGGGTGCCCGTCCCACAATGAGGCATGCTCTCTCAACCTGGACACATGGGGGAGGGCCTAGGCTGTGCCCTGGATGAAATGACAGACTCTGGAGATCCCCATGGAAGGCCTCACCCTCCCTGGTGAGCGGAGTGGGGGTTAAGGGGGCTGGAGGGACCGGTGGGGGTACAGGGGAGGAGGAGAGGGACAGGGAGCTAGGATTGACATATGAAGCAAGCTTGTTTCTATTATAAATAAATAAATTTAAAAAGAATACTTAAAATTAATGACATGTCTTTGGGATTAACTTGGAAGGGTAAAGATTACATCTAAATGAAAATTCTTCTGCGTCTTTAGAATAAAGGTTCTACACACACACACACACACACACACACACACACACACTGCCTGAGCAAACTCATAAGTCCTTTGGGGTCTCGTGTGCTCCTTTGGTATTTGAAAGGAGGAGAGTGGGGACAGGAACGAGATGGCGGTGCTAACACAGGGCTGGGTGGACAGAGTGAAGGACAGGACAGAGTGAAGGACAGAGTGAAGGAGTCTGAGGAGGAAAGAGAACAAATGCAGGACTGGGAACTGAGTCTGGGGGCCGGCGCTTCAGGGACCAGCACATGGGCGGTCGTCCTTCAATGCAGGACTGCCTGGGCCACAGCGAGTTAGGCCTAAGGCAGCTTGCTTTGCAGTGTAGGGCTGTCTCACAAGACAAGACACCAAACCACACAGAAACTGATAGTAACGCTAAAGACAGGCTGCTGCCTCAATGCTAGAAGCTTGCCTAGCCTTAAGAGTCTTGAGTTCAATACCAGTACGGGGGGGGGGGGGATTATCCCACGAACAAACAACAAACAAAATCGAAAATAAAAACAGTCACAAAATCCTTCTGGCCTGGAGAAGAGAGAGGCCTGAGGAGTTGCCAATGTGAACATGAGTGGCTCTGGGTGATTATACCAGGGCTAAACAAAAAAGAACTTTCTCCACTGTCTAGAGATGTACACACTGAGACCATTACCTCACCAGATCCTTGTAGATCAGCTTTGCTGTTTCCAGATACGGCTTAAGCATATCTTCATACTGGCAAAGAGAGCCTCCAAGACAGAGGTGCTTAAAAACACAGAACAGGAACTCTTCTCTTTCCTGAGGGCTGAAGACTTCATACTTTTCAGAGTCTTCCATGAGCAAAACCTAAGATGAGAAAAATCATTGTAGACAATGGGATATGTAATACAGGGTTATGATTTTAAGCTTTTGGAAGTTTTAACATACACTTAAAATGAGTACTTTTTGTGGTGCCAGGGATCACGCACAGAGTTGTGTTCTGACAGGTGCGCCCTCCACCATTAAATTAAACCCCCTGTCCAATCTCAGTCATGGCAGGTGCAGTGGTGCGTTCCGCAGCCAGCATTGGGAGACGGAAACATGAGGATCAGAAGATCAAGGTCATTCTAGACCACACAGTGAGTTCAAGGTCAGCCTGGGATACAGGAGGCTGTCTCAAACAACAACAACAAATAAACAAACAATGTTGGGGTTGGAGAGAGGGTTAGTTCCCACCTCCTGCAAAGGACCCAGACTCAGTTCCTACCACCCACATGGTGGTTCAAAACCATCTGTACCTCCAATGCCAGGGCATCCAGACATAGATACAGATAAAGCATCCATACACAAAAGATATACATTTAAAAAATCAAATTACTAATATATACCTTTAAAAAAACAAATTACTAATATATACCTTTTTAAAAAAAACAAATTACTAATATATATCTTTAAAAAAACAAATTACTAATATCTTTTTTTTAATTCTTGGGCAGGGTCTCTGGTATCCCACGCTGACCATGAAGCACGCAGATGAGGATGACCTCCAACCCCTGATCCTCCTGTTTCCTCCTCCCCAGCGCTAGGTTAGTAGGCATTCGCCATCATGCCGTGTTTGTGACGTGCTGAGGATCACCCCAAGGCTTTGTGCCCACTAGATTAAGTACTCTGTCAACTGTGCCCAAGCTCCATTTTTAGCTTAGTTTTGTCGGTTTTGCTTTTGAGATAGGATAGCCTGTAACTACGTAGGCCAGGCTGAGCACTAGGATTACAGGCAGGGGCCACTACTACCAGCTTCCCATGTATATTCTTAATATCCATTTGGTGTAAAGACTTCTACTGAAGACAGTAGCTAGTCACTACCTGTGAACGGCTGACACCGGGGCCAGGTGACTGTTGGGAGGAACTGTGCTGTGGCTGTGTAGTGTCAGTGCATGTCACCAGCGTCTGACTGACACACACAAGCCCACATGAAGTCCTCCACCCTGGTCAGACCGACTGGCTGCAGGTAACTTAGGTTTTAACCAGGCTTAAGGTTTTAGCATTTTTCATAAACTTCCAGTGTGAAATTATAAGATTCTGTACTTACTTTTCTCAGTTCATCTGAAATGAGAAACGGTTCACAGAAAGAATCAAAGCACTTGACAATGTGTCCACTTTCTCGTACAATATTTTCATCGTACAACCGCTGGAAAAATGACATGGAAAGTTGTGTGCACGGAACATTTACAGCTTCAATTTTTTTCACTTCAGTTCCTGAAAAAAAGATATTTTGTAAAGAATAACAATGCAAAGTGAAATGTAACGATTTTAGTTATTTCTAAACTTTGAAAAAGGATACATTTTCATTTTTTATTTATGTATATGTAGTGTTTGCCACATGTGTCCAGATACCCACAGAGGCCAGAGGGCAGCATCAGACACCTTGGGACATGGATTCAAATCCCACTCCTCTGTTTTTGTTTTTTGAGTCAAGGTCTTGGTCTGTAGTTCTGGCTGCCCTGGAACTCACTGTGTAAGATTGGGCAGGCCTCAAACTCGAAGGCAGTTGCCTTTCCTCAAGCCACCACACCTGGCTCCAGACCCAATTTTGTGTTATTTCTAAAATCAACCATTATGCATGGACTCTAAGAAAAAGCAAAATCTACCCCCAAAGTAGCTTCTGTGGTGCATGACCCCACCCCCAGCCCCAGACACACTACTAACACATTAAACTGAAATAAAGGTTAGAGGCTGGGGAGGTACTTGCTGCTCTTCTAGAATACCAGAGGTTGGATCTCCGCACCCTCCTCAAGTGGCTTACAACTACCTGTAACTCTAGCTCCAAGGACATTCAGTAGGTGCCTCACCCCAACACACAGACATAAATAAAAATAAATCTTTATTGATTTAGGGTTTTGGTCTTAATAAAATAAATCTTGTTTGTTTTTGTTTTTTGGTTTGTTTTTCAAGGCAGGGTTTCTCTGTGTAGCTTTGGAGGCTGTCCTGGAACTTGCTCGGTAGGCTAGGCTGGTCTCAAACTCACAGAGGTCTGCTTTCCTCTGCCTCCCGAGTGCTAGAATTAAAGGCGTGCGCCACCAACGCCCGGCTAATAAAATAAATTTTATAAAAATTTTAGAGCCAGGTTGGCATGTCTATAATGTCAGCATCCAGGAGAGTAAGAAGGAGGATCCACGAGTTTGAGAATGAGCTGGCCTGCATAGTAGGTTCTAAGCCACTATGGACTATAGGATGAAACTGGAGTTTAAAAACAGAAGCAAACTTATAAGAAAATCTTGCCGGGCGGTGGTGGTGCACGCCTTTAATCCCAGCACTCGGGAGGCAGAGGCAGGCAGATCTCTGTGAGTTCGAGGCCAGGCTGGACCGCCAGCTTCCAAAACAATACAGAGAAACCCTGTCTCGTAAAAACCAAAAATAAACAAACAAATAAAAAAATAATAAAAAATAAAAAGAAAATCTTGCTAGGTGAATATAAACTAGAGAAGTGGCTCTTAACCTTCCTAATGCTGTGACCCTTTATATAGTGCCTCACGTTGTGGTGACCCCAACCATAAAATCACTTTCATTGCTACTTCATATCTGTAGTTACGAATCATAAAATATCTGATAGAAAGGGTATCTGATATGCAACTCCTGTGAAATGGTCGTTCCACAACAAGGGTCTCGACCCACAGGTTGAAAATCACTGCACTAGAGATGCCTTAAAGTAAAATACTTTGTGTGTTTAGTAAGGGGTTTATATACGTGTGTGTGTGCGTGTGCGAGCAGTGTTATCGAGATAAGGTCTCACATAGCCTATGCTAACCCTGAAATCACTATGCAGCAGGATGAGCTTGACTTCTGATCCTCCTGGCTCTATGTCTCTGTGGTAGGGTTACAGTTCTCCGTGGTGTTGGGGACAGAACCCAGGCACGCACTCTGCTGAAATGCCTATGTCAAAATTGCCCAGAAAACTGCTCCTTGGCATTTTGGCAAAAATCAAGTGTAGAATTGCCAATGAAAGAATAGGATTTCTTCACATAATTTTGGATTTCCATAATGCTAAATGCTCTACACTTCACATTACACAAGTTTAGTGCTAGGCTTGACACCACATACCTATAAGGCTGGTACTTGAGAGGCTGAGGTGGACTAACATTCTTGGCCAGCTACAGGGTAGGCCTCAAGCTTCAAAGTGAAACCCTGTGTCAAAACAGGTGGGTGAAGGTTCGGTGGGGGTAGTCTGGAAAGATGGCTCTGTGGTTAAGAGCACAGACTGCTCATGCAGAGGTCTGTTCCCAGCACCCACAATAGATGGTCACAAGACCTGCACCTACACACACACACACACACACACACACACACACACACACACGCACGCACGCACGCACGCACGCACGCACGCCAAACCAAAACCAAAACACCAGTGGTTGGCACCATGGGTTAGTGAACAAAGCTGTGTGCTACCAATTCTGATGACCTACGTTCAGTCCACTGGACCCGCATGGTGGAAGGACAGAACCAACTCCTGCAAATTATCTTCACACCAAGTAAACATTACCAAGAAGCGGAGCTGTGCCGGCTCCCTATAACCCAATCACTTGAGCAAAGGCAGGAGGACAGACATACATAGCAAGTTCCAACCAGGGCTGCACATTAAGGCCTTGTTCCAAAAAAAAAAAAAAATCAGCCGGGTGTTGGTGGCGCACGCTTTTAATCCCAGCACTCCGGAGGCAGAGGCAGGTGGATCTCTGTGAGTTCGAGACCAGCCTGGACTACCAAGTGAGTTCCAGGACAGCCTCTAAAGCCACAGAGAAACCCTGTCTCGAAAAACCAAACCAAACCAAACAAAACAAAAAAAAACCATTAGAACTCAAACAATAATTTAATTATGGTCATTTGTAAAGTCTTTGAGGATGCCTTGAAAATATTTTCTCTTCATTACGAAGTCTCCTACGAGATCTCACTGACAGTGTGTACGACACAAAGTTTTCCCAGCCCAGGTAAACCTTAAGGCAATGCTTGTCCAGTTGCCACAGTTCAGAAGAGAAATGTGGGATAACCGAACCGAGGCTCAGCTGCTTCTTGGTTTTCCAGACAGGGTTTCTCTGTGTAACAGCTCTGGCTGTCCTAGAACTCACTCTGTAGACCCGGCTGGCCTTGAACTCACACAGATCCACCTGCCTCTGCCTCCCAAGCGCTGGGGTCAAAGTCATGCGCCACCACTGCCCTGTGAGTACAACATAAATTATACAGCCATAAAGATTAAGGGAAATACTTTTATTATCACCTCAATCAGTTTCCCCTTTCTTTTACCTACATACACAGTCTGGTATAGGAGACGATGTCCTTTTGTCTTCTGGCTACCTTTTGGTCTTAGGGGGTGCAGGCATTGGTACCTGAACTCAGGGTCCTGCACATGCTGCTGCTGAGTTCTGCCTACAGGCCCCACCGCTGTATTGTTAGCCTGAGAAATGCCAGGGCTTAAAAGTAATCCTGGCAATTGTTTGCACTTCCTGTTTTGACTGTCCACTAGGTCATGCTGGAACCTGTCACTGCACGTCATGATCCTGGACACAGGGACGAGAAGCCAGGAATGCTGTGTCTCAATGACTTCAAAGCTGTGCTCCTGAGAGAAACTCTTCTTGTTTCTGAGGCTCAGTCCTTTTAGGGAGCAGATAAAGCTAAAAGCCTACAGACTACGATGGGACGCTCTGGACACTCCTGAAGACCAAAGGGTAGTGCAGAGAGCTGACAGTTCCATAAAACTGGCTGGTGAGCACCACATGGGGAAGAGGTGTGTGTGTGTGTGTGTGTGTGTGTGTGTGTATGTGTGTGTGTGTGTGTGTGTGTGTGTGTGTACTGAGACAGTCTTTGTAAACCAGGATGGTCCTGAACTAGCAATGCCCTGCATCTACCCCACCCAGTGAAGGGACTACTGGTGTGCACCCCCACCTGGCTCGCATGCCATTTAATAAGTCTGCCTTACTAAATTAAATGCAAACCACTGAGTCTAAGTTGTGAAAATAGCACCTGCTATCGACGGATGTCTATCATCTCCAAGTACACAGGTCTAACCCGGTGTAACTGCATTCTGAGCTGGGGCAGCTGCAGAATAACTAAGAACAGATGAGGTCCTCGGAGGCCACTGGACTTCGGGCAGCACAACTCAGCCAATAGGATTTTTGTCCCTACTTCCCACATCCAGTTTCATCACATGCAAAACACTATCCATTCTACTTCAAAAGATTCCAAATTTGAACTCTTTCAGGTTCAAGGTTTCATGTATACTCAATACAGAGTAAGACTTGAGGTACAGTTCATTCTGGGGCAGAATTCCTCTCTATGTAGACCTGTTACATCAAATATATGCTTCTAAAATACATTGGAGGGCCAGGCAGTGGTGGTATACCCTTTAATCCCAGCACTCAGCAGGGAGAGGCAGGAGGATCTCTGAGTTCAAGGCCAGGCTGGTCCACAAACTGAGAAACCAAAAAAAAAATACACTGATGGGATGAACATGGGGCAGCCATTCCCCCAAAACCAGAGAAACAACTGTCAGAGACTATGTGTAGTTTCCCAGCAAGGCTAACAGAGAGGGTGCAGACTCCTCACACTCTTACACTCAAGGATAATGCTTTTTGCTTTATTATATTCTGCCTTCTGGACCCACTGGGACCGTGTCCCACAGATCCCTGCTGAGGAAGAGTCTTTTAGGCACCAGGTGAACCAACTGCTAAGGTTTCTAGGGTTGACCTGGCCCCAAGCTCTGTCTGTACTGGTGGCCCTGTCTCTGAGGATAAGCTTAGAGACTGTCTGGTCTGGGAAAATTATCTCTGAGTGACTGCCTTTAAAAAAGATCTGTTGTGGGGTATTTGTACATTGCGTGAAGGCGTATTGCCGTGATTGGTGTACTAAAGAGCTGAACGGCCAATGGCTAGGCAGGAGGCACAGATGGGACTTCTGAGAAGAGAGAGGAAGGGGAGGAATCTAGGTGTGGGAGAGAGATGAGAGGCAGTGAGGAGGCAGGGAGGAAGCAGGATGGACGGTATATGACAACGTAAATTAATAGAAATGGGTTAAGCTTTAAGAGCTAGTTAAAGACAAACCTAAGCTAAGGTCAAGCTTTCATAATTAATAAGTCTCCATGTCATTATTTGGGAGCTGGCTCGTGGGACAGACAACGACTCTTTACAAAGATGATTTTTTAAGATTGTGTTGTGTGCCTGTGAGTGTAGGTGCCTTCAGAGGCTAGATGTGTCAGAAACCCTGATCTGAAAGACCTAACATGGGTGCTGGGAACTGAGCTCCCGACTTCTGGAAGAGCAGCACAAGCTCTTAGCTGCTGAGCCATCTCTCCCGCCCTGATTCACCTTCTGGGTCTTTCCTTAACAAATAGCTCATGCTGGCAGCTGAGAAGCCCCATGACCCAGCCCCCAGGAGCTAGGAAGTCCAGGAGCCCTGTAGTGTCGGCCAGCAGCGCCTTCACTGATAACACCCGTTCTACTTTTGGTTTCTGCTGACGTGACTGATTAAATCCATGGGTCACGCCCTGATCTCTTTATCAGATGGTTTTCCTACCATACCCTTGGTGTTCTCTTCAGAACAGGGTTTCTTGTTTCTCAATAAGCAAGGTCATAAAACTTCAGGAGGTCCCCTTCCAGTCCCTTCTTGTTTAACAATGCCTCCTTCTCAGGCTGCAGACAGCTCACACGGTAGATGACCTCCTAGCATTCAAGAAGCCCTGGGTTCAATACCCAGCACTGCATAGAGTGGGTGTGGTGGCTCAGGCCTGTCACCACAGCACTCCAGAGGCTGAGGCAGGAGTAAGACAGAAACACAAAAACTGCTTTTTGTGGGGGGGAGGGGGTTCTAAATACTCCAAATGAAAACTGAAGGGAAGACTTCAGTATACCAGAAAAATAACAGCAAAACCTGAAGAAAACGAGAGGAGGGCAAGCCAAGCTGGTAAGAGTGCTGGCGACACACACAAGTCCTCCTCAAAAGACACGAGTGCTGGGCTGCAGAGAGGCTCGTGGCTAAGAGCACCTGCTGCTCTTCCAGATCTCAGCATCCGGTCAGGTGTCTCAGCGCCTGTGACTCTAGCCCCAGGGATCCAACACCCTTCTCTGGTCTCTGTGGGCATCTGTGTATAGACATGCATGTGCACATAAATAAAAATTAAACCTTAAGAAACAAACCCAAGTGGAGCGTTTCTAATTTCAGAGTTCTTCTACTGTCTCCCATCAAGCACACATGGCATTTCAGAAGCTTTACTCCAAACTTAGAATACGGTCTGCTGAGATGGCTCAGGGGGGAAAAGGAATCGATGGGGTCAGGACCCGAGTTCAATCCCTGGGACCTACATGGTGTGGAAGGAGAACCAACTTCTGCAAACTGTCATCTGACCTACTCTCTCTCTCTCTCTCTCTCTCTCTCTCTCTCTCTCTCTCTCTCTCTCTCTCTCTCTCTCTCTCTCACACACACACACACACACACACACACATGCAATTTTAAAATTCTACAGCAAAGGCTCAGGACACCTGGTAGAGAAGGTGGAAAGATGTCAGGGCTGGAGGATGGGGCAGAGCGCTGTGAATTGCTTCCCTCAGGACAGGACAGGACAGGACAGGACAGGACAGGACAGGACAGGGACAGGACTGCTGCACTCAACTCCCAACAGCTGTGGTCACCTGCACAGCACCGAGCTGGCTACAGTTTCCACAGGGATGGGGTGGGGGAGCTAACAAGGATCTGGCCTTAACAGAGGAGTTACTGGCACCCAGAAGTCCCCGGTGAGGGGGAGGGAAAAATCCTTCTTTTGGGGAGTGACAGCTGGGAAGTCACAGGTGCTTCAGGGGATGACTCAGACTCAACCTGGTCTACAGAGAGAGTTCCAGGACAGCCAGGGCATGGAGAAATGCTGTTTTGAAAACAAACAAAAAACCCAAAGTACATTAAAAAATTAAATCACCGTGGTAGTTTGAAAGAAAATGGCCCTCACAGGGAGTTATACTACTAGGAGGTATGGCCTTGTTGGAACAGGTATGATCCTCCTTGGAGGAAATGTGTCACTGTGGTGGAGGGCTTTGAGGTTTCATGTATACTCAAGTCACACTCAATGAGACAGACCACTTCCTGCTGCCTGTGTAAGATGCAGAACTCTCAGCTACCTCTCCAGAACATTTGCCTGCATGCCCACATATTCCCAGCCACCAAGCTGCCTGCCACGATAATGGACTAAGCCTCTGAACTGTAAGCTGCCACCTCCATTGAATGTCTTTCTTTATGAGAGATGCCATGGTCATGGTGTCTCTTCATAGCAATAGAAACCCTAACTAAGACAACCATGCAAAACAACAAAGAAACAAACGACCAAAAACCTCGAACAAAACTTAGGTCCAAGTCAGCACCTACTCTGCAAAGTCTGTGCAGAGATGGGGAGACTGCGCACACTCCAGTGAACCTCGTTTTCTTTTAAAAGACTGGCTGAAGTTACTGTGAACATTTCAAAGACTCTGGTTATTCTCTCTTGAAAAATCCAAGTTGGCAAGTGTATAAGCTTAGAAACGGAGTTTAATTTTGTACATCGTTTGCAGATCAGGCTCTACCAGCTTTCTGCTCTGCAAATTTGGCAGCAGTCCTTGGCCAAAAGCAATAAAATCTGACCTGCTGAGTCTAACAGGAACCTTTTTGTAATTTTGTTCTTGCCTAATACTCTCAAAAAGTTACTTTGTCTTACGGCTTCTTAGAATACCATGAAGACAGACTTTGTTTAACTAAGACCCCCTCTTAAACAAAACATCTAATTTCTAAGCAATTTGCATTCTCCCGTGCACACATTGGTATTACAGATCTTTTCCTAAGTGGAATGGTGTTACCTGTTCCATGGTTGAGACCTCAAACTTGAATTTAAAATATTTAAAATTTGTGTTGGTTTTCAAAACAGTCTTTGGGGGAGATGATGGTTCAGGTGGTAAAAGCGCTGGACACGCAAGTTTGATGGCCCAGTTTGCAAGAGCCAACCCCTGAAAGCTGGCTTCATACAGCATGCCTGCACACGTGCTCTCTCTCTCTCTCTCTCTCTCTCTCTCTCTCTCTCTCTCTCTCTCTCTCTCTCTCTCACTCACACACACACACACACTAAACAAATAAAATTTCCCAGGTATGTTTTAGTGTATTATTAAATTGTCACCCAGAGAAAGGTCCCCCTTTAAGAAGTCATTTCTCTATGATTTGTTATTATTATAAAAAAAATCCCAGGGCAGCCAATTCCCATGAAAACCTCATGCATGCCGCAGCTGTACCCTGCCCGCCCCCATCAGTGGGCCCTACCCTGAACCTTCCCCTATGGGTAGAACCAACCATCTCGCGTCTATGGAAAAATCTGTAGCACGCTCTCACAGTATTTCTCTCACTTACTCTTTGGAGGTTTTTAGTTGCATGACCGTGTGTCTATCATGAGGTGTGTGCATGTGTGTGAGGACAGCCCTGGACTCTGGGAGCTGGGGTCGGTGGCTGTGATGCTGGATGTGGGCACGGGACGTGAACTCAGTCTTCTGGAAGGGCAGTGTCTCTTCAGTGCTGAACTGAACCGTCTCTCCAGCCCTCTTTTTCTTTCCTTCTTCCCACCCCTCTCCCGTTTTATTCTTAATGTTCTCATTGTTACTTTAAGACAGGATCTCATATTGCCTGAGGTGGCCTCAGTTTGCCAAGCCACGGATCAGAGGGTAGTCTTAAACTTCTGATCCTCCTGTTTCTACCTCCCCAGTACTGGGATTACAGGTTGTGCTACTACACCTGGCTTTATGTGATTGTCTTAGTCAGGGGTTCTATCGCTGTGAAGAGACCACGACCACAGCAACTCATAAAGGAAGCCGTCTAAGTGTGGTGGCGGCTTACAGTGTCAGAGGCTCAGCCCATAGTCTTCGTGGCACTGGGAGTATGGCAGCGTGTGGGCAGACACTAGGAAGTGAACCATCTCACCAGGCATGGCTGGACCATACACGAGACCTCAAAGCCTGCCTCCACAGTGACACACTTCCTCCAATGAGACCACGCCTATTTCAACAAGGACACACCTCCTAGTTTGAGGTGTGGCCCTGAGGGCCATTTTCTTTCAAAACACCACAGTGATGCTGGAGACTGAACAACCCAGATCTCTGTGTATCACTCAACACACTGAGAGCTATCTCCAGAAAGCCTCACTTAAGGAACCATTGGATTCCACGAGCATCCTTTCCTCTTACGCATCTCAATGTGACTTGCATTTAGCAGAGGAAACAGAAGGTGTAGGATGTGTATTTTCAAACTACTAAGAGAAGATTGCTCTGATGTGCTGCACCGGTGAGAGCAAGAGATTTCCAGGACAGAAATCAGGGCAGGCCTGACACAGAGGGTCACACCTTGTCATGAAGGTCACAATTTGTATTCTAGTGACACAAATCACTAGTGATAATTGCTGTGGCAAATTTTTATTAAAACAGTTAACTTGGAAATATAAAAGTTAGTTTTCTTTACCTAATGTGGTCCACTGTCCAGGAGAATCTGAGAGTAACTGCAAATTTGGAATAACATTTGGGTCTCTGAAAAAAGCCTAAAATACAAATTGCAAGGGAACACGTTAGAAATTTTATTATAAATACAACTAACTTCTGAAACAAAGTTAACAAAACATCATTTAATCCAAAGTAAGAAGAGAAGCTCAGCTTTAATTACGATTACTGTTTTTGTTTTTTCCTCTAAAGTGCTGAGCATCAAACCCAGGACTTTGTCTACACTGAACAATTGCTCTACTCCTGAGTTATTTCCCCAGCTCTTGACTTTTTTGACAGGGTCTTATTATATAGCTCAGACTGGTTTTGAATTTGCTATGTAGCCCAAGTTTTCCTCAACCCTGTGTGCTAGGATCATAGGTATTAGCTAGTATGTCCAGCTTGAAGGACTTCGTATTTTCTCCTTTTGAGACAGGTCTCATGCATCCAGGCTGGCCTTGCACACACTTGTAACTCACTGTGTACCCAAGGATAACCCTGAACTCCTGAGGTCCCTGCTTGTATCTTTGAAGGGTTGGGTAAGATGTACAGACCATCAAATTGGCTAGAAGAACTTTATTGATTGTGGTCTGTCTGTCTGTCTGTCTGTCTGTCTGCCTCGGTTTTTCGAGACAGGGTTTCTCTGTGTAGCTTTGGAGCCTGTCCTGGCACTCGATCTGTAGACCAGGCTGGCTTTGAACTCACAGAGATCCACCTGCCTCTGCCTCCCAAGGCTGTGATTAAAGGTGTGAGCCACCACTGACTGGTTGGCTGAAAGAACTTTAAATCAAGAAAAAGTTAATGAATTTTTTAAAGAAACAAAAGAAATGGAACCAAGGGGCAGTGAGATGGTTCAGAGGACAAAACGGTACAAGCCTTATGATGCAAGTTCAACCCCAGGTTCCATGTGGAAGAAAAGAACTGACTCCCAAAGTTGTCTTTCAACTTCCACATGCGCACTGTAGTGTCAGCTCCCCATGCATGTGAACACACACATAAAACAATGTCCACATGTGCACTGTAGTGTCAGCTCCCCATGCATGTGAACACACACATAAAATAATGTCCACATGTGCACTGTAGTGGCAGCTCCCCATGCACGTGAACACACACACATAAAATAATGTCCACATGTGCACTGCAGTGTCAGCTCCCCATGCATGTGAACACACACACATAAAATAATGTCCACGTGTGCACTGTAGTGTCAGGTCCCCATGCACATGAACACACACACATAAAATAATGTCCACATGTGCACTGCAGTGTCAGCTCCCCATGCACATGAACACACACACATAAAATAATGTCCACATGTGCACTGTAGTGTCAGCTCCCCATGCACATGAACACACACACATAAAATAATGTCCACATGTGCACTGCAGTGTCAGCTCCCCATGCACGTGAACACACACACATAAAATAATGTCCACGTGTGCACTGTAGTGTCAGCTCCCCATGCACATGAACACACACACATAAAATAATGTCCACATGTGCACTGCAGTGTCAGCTCCCCATGCACATGAACACACACACATAAAATAATGTCCACATGTGCACTGTAGTGTCATCTCCCCATGCATGTGAACACACACATAAAATAATGTCCACATGTGCACTGCAGTGTCAGCTCCCCATGCACGTGAACACACACACATAAAATAATGTCCACATGTGCACTGCAGTGTCAGCTCCCCATGCATGTGAAAACACATAAAATAATGTCCACATGTGCACTGTAGTGTCAGCTCCCCATGCATGTGAACACACACACATAAAATAATGTCCACATGTGCACTGCAGTGTCAGCTCCCCATGCCCATGAACACAATCTCTGGAACTGGAGTTACAGGTGATTGTGAGCCACTGTGTGGGTCCTGAGACTGAACCTGGGTCTTCCACAATAACAGAAAGTGCTCTTAATGCTAAATCATTTTTCCAACCCCTGGAATGCTTTTTATAAAGGCCTTTTAAATAAGCCAACACAATTTTTGAAAATAAAATTATAACTATATCCATAAAAATGCATTAAAAACAGAAAGAACAGACAGGCTCTATGTGTAAGCAGTTTTGTGGCTTGTTACAGAACTGACATAATGGCATCAGAAGGACTTCCTGTGTGTCAGCTTCAGGAAAACTGATGCACTTTTCAGAAATAGCAGCTGACTCATAGATGAACTTGCAGTAACAAACACACCAGTATCAAAATGCATGTAAAGAGCTGGGCATTGGTGGTGAACGCCTTTAATCACAGCACTCGGGAGGCAGAGGCAGGAGGATCTCTGTGAGTTCGAGACCATCCTGGTCTACAAGAGCTAGTTCCAGGACAGCCTCCAAAGCCAAACCCTGTCTCGAAAAACCAAAAAAAAAATGCATGTAAAGATTAAATAAACTTGTTTGGAAACATGAAACAGGACACACACACACACACACACATACACACACACACACACATACACACACCCCTCTGCAATACATACACACCTGCACACACATATACATATCTTCACACACACACACACACACGCACACACACATATCTTCACACACACACAACCCTCTGCAATACACACACACCTGCACACACACATACATATCTTCACACACACACACACACACACACACACACACACTCACGCCTGCTACGGTTGGTCGGATACTGCCACAGGCCTGCGTTCTGCACTGAGATGTACAGAGGAGCATGCACAGACCTCCAGCAAACTCTGCAAAATAAAAGCTTGTCACTGCGTACATGGAAAACGCCTCATTATCTGGCACACACCACTAAGCTGCGGCTCTGAGTACTGTATGTTGATCTGACCGTGCTCTCTAGAGACCCTAAAGTGAGACTTTCCAGCCAACAAGCTTGAGGACAGCCACCTGGATGCACCTTCTGCCTGATGCTGACTGTGCCTAATGCTACATTTATTCTCATCATTTACTCTCCATCTCCTATGTGTGGAATCGGCTACTCCATCAACTACATCAGAAACCTGGGATTCGACCAACATGTTCCTCCCCCTATCTCACCATCTCCTTAGTCCTTAAGCTCCCTCATGAGTTCTTCTCGGAGTTATTTTTAGGGTCAGTCTAAAATGAGGACCTCACCAAACACTGTCCAGTAGGCAGCCATGCTCATCCCTACACCAATGCAGAACATGAACACTGTCTGGAGGTGTTATCCAATTTTGTTTCACTAATTCCAGACACAACTGTCAAACTGACACCAATGTTTTAATTAATTGTTCTTGGAAAACAGGGTTTCACTCCTGGTGTGGTGGCATGCACCTTTAATTCCATCAGGCAGGTTTCTGAGTTCAAGGACAGCTGAGTCTACAGAACAAGTTCCAGGACTGCCAGGGATACACAGAGAAACCCTGTAAGCAAGCAAACAAACAACAAAAAGCAAGCAAACCTTCCCACCCAAAAGAAAGAAAATAGGGTTTCACCACGTAGCCCAGGCTAGTCTTGAACTTAGACACTTCATGCCTCAGTCTCTGGGTGCTGGGAATCTAGACATAAGCTATCATGTTTGGTTTTAATTACCTTATTAAAGAGATACCTTTGGGCCAGGCCTGATGGTCAAGCCCTGATTGGACTACATTGATGGGGGAAGTTCGTCTGTGTCTATGTTGCCCTACTGGTTGATTAATAAAACACTGTTGGCCAATAGGGAAGCAAGATAGGTGGGACTAGGAGTCGAGGAGGATTCTGGGAAACAGAGGCACAGTCGGTCCCGATGTAGGACACCAGAGGAATAAGAGGTCTGGACCCTTTCTCCAGTAAGAGAAGACCATGTGGAAATACTCAGGTTAGCAGTTATGTGTTAGTAATTAAGTCAGAGCTAGCCGATAAGAAACCAAGCAAACAGCCAACAGCTTCATAATTAATACAGTGTCTCGTGTATTATTTGGGGGTTAAGACAGCTCGGGACCCAGGCAGCTGGCTGGAAGACTACACGTTACATCCCAGGCAGCTGGCTGGAAGACTACATGTTACACTGCATAACAAAATGAAAGCTGGCTCAGTGGTTAAGAGTGCATGTCACTCCAGCAGAGGACCTGAGTTTGACTCCCTGCACTCAAGCTGGCAGCTCGCAATACCTCCTGCAGCTCCAGCTGCAGAGAGGCCGAGTTCACAGGTGCTACCCGAACACATGCCCTCCACACACACATACACATGCATAATTAAAAATAATACATTTGTAAAAACTGTCTGGAGAGATGGCTCAGTGGTTATCTTTCTGCTCTTCCAAAGGACTGGGGTTCAATCCTCAGCAACCACATGGCAGCTCACAACTGTCTGTAACTCCAGGATCTGACACCCCTACACAGACATACATGCAGGCAAAACACCAATGCACATAAAATAAAATTAAAAAAAGAAGAACACTTGCTGCTCAGGTGTACTGAGGCTAGCCTCCGTGTAAGATGCTTCACAAAAAGCATGCAACTCAAACTTCAAGGGGCTCCACAACCTCTTCCATCCTTTGGCACAGGCAATGTGCATACACTCACAGAGAGCAGACACGCAGACACAAATGTACGTCTCGTCACTTTGGTTGTGAGCTTCAGTCTTTAACAGCTGAGCCATCTCTCCAACCCCACAAATAAATTTTTAAACATGCTTCTAAGAACTGTTCGTGCATTTCCTAGTGCCAGGGGTGGAACTCAGGTCTCCGTGTATGCTGAGCAAGCACTCTACCTTCGAGCCACTCCCTCAGATCCCCAATATTTGTTTGTTTGTTTTAAACAGGGTCCCTCTATGCAATCCTGGCTGTTCTGGAACTCACTACGTAGACCAGGCTGACCTTCAACTCACAGAGATCCAACTGCCTCTGCCTCCTGAGTGCTTTAATTAAAGGTGTGCGCCACCACACTGGGTCCCCAATATCTTAACTATGAGTCTTATTTCAGCTTTTGAGATGGCCGGGACCTTGAAGAGATTCTGATCCCCTTGTCTCCACCTCTCCACTGTTGGGATTATAGTCTATGTCACCTTGCTGGTTTATGTAGAGCTGGGGATACATGAAAAACCAGCACCCTACCAACCCAGTTACATCCTTAACACAAGAACTGTAAAACAAGAGAGAAATGATTGGGATTATAGAAAGAAATGTGTTGAGTTTTTATGGATGAATATTTAAGCTGTTGAACTTTACTGAGCAGCCAAAAAGAGAAGAGCGCCTTCTATCACCCTGCAGCAGGGGGCCCTTCCCTCTGTGCCCAGGACACCCTCTATAGCATTTATTAAAGCAAATACTTCAGTGTCCCATGGAGGCTAGTGTGCTGAAATTTTGTGTGCCTGACAAGCTGGGATAAAGAAAACATTAAACAAATATTTACTGAGTAAACAGGCATATTAAAAGTTACATATGAGCTGGGTGGTGGTGGTGCACTTCTTTTATCCCAGCACTTGGGAGGAAGAGACAGGCAGATCTCTGTGAGTCTGAGGTTAGCCTGGTCTACAGAGCTAGTTATAGGATAGTCAAGGCAATACAAAGAAACTCTGTCTCTAAAAACTGAAAAAAAAATAGAAAAATAAAAATGCTATATATGTAAACAAAAGTATCAAAGAAAAAAATTACAGGGGTAGTGACACACACCTTTAGTCCCAGCATTTGGGTAGGCAGATCTCTGAGTCTGAGGCCAGCCAGGGCAATACAGTAAATGAATAAAAAGAAAAAATGTACAGCATTTCAAATTCTGATATTAAAAAAATTGTTGAGTAGCTGAGTACCCCATGCTATGCCAAGTTGGAAAGACCCCAGAAAGACCACCAGGAGCTGACTCACCGATGCAAATGCACAAGGTTTAATGTTAGGTTACAAGACTCGGCAGGTACCCTGTCCAGCAAACTGGCCCTGCAGCTGCAGGAAAAGGGTGTCTGGCCTCAGTTGTAACGGGTTTATAAAGGAAAAAACCGAAAGCAGGGTGGTATGTGGCTTGCCTGTTCAGGATTGGGTAAGAGTAGGTGACCTTTGGATTCACTGACATGGGGGCTAGGGGAATTTCAAAATTGCTACTAATAGTTGCCCATGAGGACAGTTGTGGCAAGAAGATGTTATTTACCAAAAATTAGGCACTGCCTGACAACCGGGATGGGGTCACTTTGTCCCGGGTGGGCACAGTTTGGGTGCTCCTTGGAACTGTTTATGGTTCCTTGGCTGGAGCTGAATCAGCCTGTGCCACGCAGGAAATTTCTCAAAGTGGCTTTTTCTGAGGACGGAGCTAACTCCATCCTCCCCAGTTTACCTTGCTCCTACACCCAACACTGCCTGGATGGCCAGAATCCAGAAAACTGGATGACTCAGAGACCTCTGGTAGAACCAAGCAGTACTGACACATACATACATGCATATATGTATACAATAATGTCAATAAAGTGGTTCCTAACAATATTCTGCTATGCTCATAGACTGATGCGGAGCCCAGGTGACATCAGAGAGGCTTCCTCCAGCAGCTGATGGGAGCAGGTGCAGTTACCTACAGCCAAACTTTAGGTGGCTTAGGGAAGCCTGTGGGAGATGGGGAGGAAAGACTGTAGGCCCCAGAGGGATTGAGGACACCACAAGAAAACCCACAGAATCAACTAACCTGGGCTCACAGGGGCCACAGAGATGGCACCAACCACGGGGGAGCCTGGATGGGACTGATCTAGGCCCTCTTCATATATGGCACAGTCGTGTAGCTTTGACCTTGTGAGATCCTGCAGTGTGCTGGGGGAGGGGGGCTCCCTGACACTTTTGCCGGCTCTTGGGATCCCTTTCCTCCTACCAGGCTGCCTCCATCCAGCCTTGCTGTGAGGGCTTGTGTCTGGTCTTCCTGCATCTTGTTATGCTATGCTCAGTTGATACCCCTGGGAGGCCTGCTCCTTTCTGAAGAAAGTGGATCTTGGGAAGAGGGGAGGTTGTGGTGGGGGGAGAGGGAGGGGATACTGTGCTCAAGATGAGAGAAGAATGAGGAAAAAAATAGTTGAGGGCCAGTACTGGTTAATTATTAAGACCTAACCACGAAGAAATGAAGACAAGTCATAACAGTACCATTATACTACGACGGCATTATAATCCTATCACACTTAGAGAGAGATGGGCCAATTTAGCTAAAAATTCATGTCCTTCCTTCAACCTCAGAAAGAAGGTCACTGCATATGTTAATGTTATTCTGATGTAGGGATGGGTTTCTAACTCAGTACCGCTGGTGTCTTTAGGAGAGACCAAGTCATGGCGAGGACTATGGGAAGCTGGCCAGGTAGAGCCAGAGTAGGGGACTCTACAGGTGTCAGCAGAGGGAACCACTTTTGATCTTCAAAGTAAGGAGACAACCTCTCTTCACTACTGGAGGCGTGCAAGATGACCTATGTCATTTGCTGGCATTCCTGGGAAGGATCCAGAGCACTCTTCAAAGATCACCTTTTGATTCATTTCTATCTCTAGTTATTGAGAAGTTCCTAGCACACAGCGGGCCTTCAGAACGTGTCAGAGTAAATAAATCACAGCCCTCACAGCAAGGCTAGAGGCAAACAAACAAACAAAAAAAGAATACCCCTCACAATTTTCAGTCAGATCGGTAACACACGCCTGTGGGACTGTCTAAACGCATGACACACTTGTAAAGTTACATAAGAACAATCCCAAAGGTAGGTAAAAGGTACTACTTGCAAGGTGGTCAATGCTGGCGCTTGGAGGCAGAGGCAAGAGGACCCGGCGAGTGCCAGGCCAGCCTGGTCTACAGAATGAGACATTTTCTCAAAAGACCCCCCTAAGAAACAAAAGAAAATCCAACTCGCACTTTTTATTAGTCCATGAACTAATGGAGTGTCCCCAGCATCAGAGGAGACCCCTATACCGACCATGACGAAATCATCCTTCTGGTAGGGCTGGAACGTCTGGTCGAAGCTGAACGCCTGCGCCTGGATTCGGCCCAGCATGGACCTGGCAGAGAGGGAGCGTCAGTTGGAGTGTGCGAGCAGAGTGCGGAGCCCGCAGCGCAGAGCCCGGAGCGCGGGACCCGAACCCCGAGCCCGCCGCGTGGCCGCCCCCGCCCCGGGCGCCCCTCACCACTGGCGGAGCCGGCCGGTGACCTCCCGGCTGCTCAGCGATGAGAAGGTTCTCTGAGGCAGGAATCTGAAGTAGAAGCCGCCTGGACAGCCCGGCTCGCCAGCCGCCATTCTGCGTGCGGACCCAGGGAAGCAGTAGCCGTTTCCACGGAGACGCAGCAGCAGGAGCCTCGCCACGCTCAGGGGGCGGGGCGCCGCTCGGGGGGCGGGGCCTGGGAGAGGAGCGTTGGCCCCTTAGCTCAGCCCGCTTGACTTAATGCGGACTCTGGGCCTGGCTCGTAGGCGATGGAGAAAAGTTGCTGGTCGCTCTGTGTGACCCGAACTCTTAGTTACTCTGCACCGGCCAATGACCTAATAATACCAAAGCCTACAGTCTCAAGCCGACACTTTCCTAAGTGTAAAGATGCTTTGCAGGAAAAAAAAAAACATCTAATTAGGTTGGTTTGATTTGGAAGACAAAAGGATTGCTTAGGAGACTATTCAACTTCTCCTTTTGACGTTACATTTGTCTGTAGCTCAATCTTCTGGCAGGTTCCCCCCTCTCCAGTGTCTCTAGTGTGTGTCAGATTGACATAAAACTAGCCAGCACACAGACTGCAGGGGGAGCTGCCCAGCAGAAGGCGACATCTCTGGCTTAGGACAGACTTTAATGCATGAGGGCTAGTCATGACTTGGAGAAAGAAAGGTGAAGAATTTCAGGAATGGCTTTCATTTTCCCCTCGCTGTCTTGCTGGTTTTGGAAGGGGGTCTTGCTATGTAGCCCTGGCTGACCTTGAACTCACAATGTACCTCAGGCTAGCATCAGACTCAGGACAATCCTCTTGTCTTGACCTCTCAGATTGCTGGAATTACAGGCATGGGGAAATGCCAGGCTCCTGTTCTGTCCTTACATGGGTTTTGGGGAGTGGCATTTTGACGGGCAGATGATGCGGTTCTGAAATCCCAGCCCTTGGCTAGCAAAGACAGGAGGACCCCTGAGACATCTAGGCTAGTCTGATCTGTATAGGAAGTGAGGCCCTGCCAGGGCTACATAGAGTGAGACCCCCCTTTTTTTCCTTTTTCTTTTACTTAAGTTGTGGGCAAGACAGTAATGTTTATTAAATATTTCATCTGAAAGCTTACATTTCCCGCCTCCTGTTTGGTGTCAACAGGCAGCTATTTCCTTTTTTTAAAATAAATTTTTATTTAAATTAGAATATTTGTTTTACATATCAATCCCAGTTCCTTCTCCCTTCCATCCTCCCATGCCCCCCACTAACCCCTGGCCCCACCCCCCATCCACTCCCCAGGGGTATCACCAAAGTCTGTCACATTGTTTGGGGCTGGGGCAGGGCCTAGGTGCCCCCCAAGGGCTGAGAGAGTATCTCCCATAGGGAATGAGCTTCCAAAGCCCATTTGTGCACTAGGGATAAATCCTGGTTCCACTGCCAGAGGCCCCATAGACTGCCCAGGCCTCCTAGCTGACACCCACGTTCAGGGGGCCTGGTTTGGTCCTATGCTGGTTCCTCAGTTGTCAGACTGGGGGGGTCTGTGAGCTCCCACTTGCTCAGATTAGCTGTTTCTGTGGGTTTCCCCAGAATGGTCTTGACCCCTTAGCCTGGAGAGATGGCTCAGCAGTTAAGAGCACTCCCTGTTCTTCCTAAGGTCCTGAGTTCAATCCCCAGCAACAATATGGCAGTTCCCAACCATCTGTAAGGAGGCCCCTTTTCAAACAGCAAAAAAAGCTGGGAATGGTGGCACATGACTGTGATACCAGCACTCAGAAGGTAAAGGCAGAGGATGAGAAAAAAAGCCAAAATAAAATAAAATAAACAACAGTCTATAACTTTAACTTACATAATACATTAAAACATTTTTTTCTTTTGAGACAGGGTTTCTCTGTAGCTTTGGAGGCTGTCCTGGAACTCACTCTGTAGACCAGGCTGGTTTCCAACCCACAGAGATCCACCTGCCTCTGCCTCCCAAGTTCTGGGATTAAAAGCGTGCACCCCATGCCCAGCTAACTTGTGTATTGCCATAGTTAAACACTAACATTTCATCACAGTGTCTGTGTCTATGTGTGCACATGAATAGGGAGGGCAGAACAAGCTTCGTGCATTCTGTTCTCTCTTTCCGCCTTTTCATGGCTTCAGGGGTTAAACTCCGTGTCCAGGGTTGCTGAGCAAAGGCCTTTCCCCTGAACCGTCTCCTGTCCCAGACCTTTACATTTTCATGTTAACCCTGTAGGTGATGCATTGAGTATAAATTACTTTATAGGTCTCATAGGCAAACTACTGATTTTGGGGTTCAACCTAAAATCTGTCTGCATCTGTACCTGACTGATTGTGATGGTGACCCGACGGTTTCTAAGTCTGTTTCCTCTGAGAGTTATTGTGCGTGTGTGTACGTGTGTGCGTGTGTGTGCGTGCACGTGCGTGTGCATGCGTGCACATGCGTGTCTCTGTGTGTGTGGGTGCTCTCTGATAGAGTGTGGTGTCTGCTGCAGCGCTGACATTCTTGTCCATTAGATTTTGTTTAGAGCAGCAGCAGCAGCTGGTCCACCACGGAATGTATCTTCGGGTGAAGGTTGGAGTTAAACATGACTGCTTTCAGTTTCTGGAAGACAGATTTCCTGGGAGGAGTTAGGGCCCCTGGAAGAGGTAAACAAGCAGGGACTGGAACCTGTTTCTTCCGTGACAGGAATGCTGGCTGGCTTTCACATTAGTTTTAAGTTCTGTAGGGATGGCAAGCAAAGCAGCTCCTTCAGCTTCCCACTGGCTTGGTGCGACAGCCTACGGTGGCTGTGTTGGCTTCTATAAAATTAGAGTTAATTATAGAATTTCAGCGTTTGGCTTACATTTGTTTAACATAGTTTGCAAAATGATATAAAGCAAGGTACCCAGTTTCCTATTCACATAAGATTTCAGTACTTTGGGGGGGGGGGGGCTGGGCCAGGGACGATATGATTGTCCCAGACGCAGAAGAGAGCACGAGTCAGGGGGTCTTAGAGAAACTGATGGGTACAAGTAAGGTTTCAATGGGAGAGAAAGTGACTTTTTAAACATTTTATTTGCTTTGAGAGAGGGAGGAGGAGGAGACAAGGGGAGATATGGAGCGTGCACATGCCTGAAAGTCAGAGGACAACTTTAGGGAGTCGGTTTTCCCTTTGACCACACGGGAATCAGGGTTGGCAGAAGCACCTTTGGCCATTCAGACGGCTTTTTTTTCTCCTCTTGTCTCCCAGGCTGCCTTGGACTCGGCTGTGTGGCTGAGGGTGTCTGACTGTTTGACCGTCCATCTACACAGTAACCCTGAGGTTATAGCAGCAAGCCTGCTTGCTGAGTTTCATATGGTCCTAGGGATCAATGTTTTGCACATGCTAGGCAAGCTACCAACTAAGTGCTAAGCCACACCCCATCCTGGGCCATAATTTGTTTAGACATTTTTTTCTTTTGAGACAGGGTTTCATGTCTCCCAAGTTGGCCTTGAACTCACAATTCCCTGAGGCAGCCATTACACTCCTGATCTTCCTGCTCTACCTCTCAAGTATTGGGGTTACCGATGTGGGTCACCATGCCCAGTGAGAAGGTGACTCTTGGCTGTTTCGCTTTTCATTATGGATAAATCTACATCTGTAGTCAGCCCAGGAACTCCTTGTTAGTTCCCAGAAGAAAGGGTACCAGATAGCTTTGCCTTGTTCTCAATACTCAGCTAGTGCTCAAAGCTCGGTGCCTTGCCCAGCCACCGTCAGAGACACTCCCTCCGTCAGCAGGTGGAACAAATACAGAGATCACAGGTGGACGTTACACAGATAGCGAGAGACCCCGGAACACTCCGCTCTCAATGGGCCGTCTCCACCAAATCCCTCCCCTCAGAGCTCAGGAACCCTGCCGAAGAGGAGGCAGAAATTTGGTGAGAGCCGGAAGGGATGGGCGGACACCAAGAAAACAAGGTCCTCTGAATCAATGGGTTAGGTTCCCATTTGAAGTCACAGAGGCAGCACACACGGGGCCAGCACCAGTCCGCACCAGGTGGGGTCCCAGAGCCGAACGGAGAAGTGGACACATACCCCCATCCTTAACCCGGAAGCCATCTCCAACTGATAACCACTGTCAATGAAAATTCCATGTCCTCTAAGGGAGCCTCAATGGAGAAACAAACTAAGGCTATGCCGCATGCTCTGCGGTAGACAGCCAATAGCAGGTGAACTCAGTGGCATCTTTGGAGGGTCCTTGTCTCATAATGTCCTGTCAGGGTCCTGCTTCTTAAAATAAAAAAGTTAATATGTATCTTTATCATACATATGCTAAATTAAAAAACATACATCTTCTATCTTTTACCCTCCAGATCCTGGCTTTCAGTTTAGTGTTTTTATGGGATTCCTCCTGAGTGTGCAAACAAATGTGTCTCTGTCTCTGTGCCTGCTGTTGGACTTTTTCCTGTTTGTTTGTTTTGTCCCATTCTGATGTACTAGTTTTTGCTTTATCTTACTATATTTTATTACTATCCCATAGAAATCTGTTTTCTAATGAGAGACATAAAGGGGGTGGATCCCATGGGGGCGGTAGGGGAGAACCAGGAGGAGTAGAGAGAGGGGAATCCTAATCAGGATATATTTTGTGAGAAAAAATTATTTTCAATAAAGGAAAAAAAGGAAAAAAAAAACCTCAGCAAACTGACAGAAAAGGTGATTTGGGTTCACAGTTCTGTTGGTTGTGATTTTAGGGCAGTGGCTCCACGGCTTTGATCTCTTGCTGAGGCCTGTGGTGGAGTGAGCTACTTATTACCCCATCCAGGAAGCCAATAGCAGGAGACGTGGTTTGCACGTCCGGCATGGAGGTCAGACCTACCAGGGCCTATGTCCTTCCGTTGAGTTCTGCTTCCTAATGGTTCTCAACCCAGGGAGTGAGCCTTCAGACATGTAGAGGGCAGTCATCAAAGCCAGATCAATGCCGATTAGCTGTTCTACAATGTTTGGTTTAGTGGTTTTTCTGTTTGTTTGACAAGGTCTCATGTAGCCCAGGCTGGATTTGAATTCATTGTGTAACTGAGGAGGACCTTAAATTCCGGATCCATCTCCTGAGTGCTGGGATTGCAGACTCATGCCACCAAGTCCCGTGTATGCTGTGCCGGTTAGGCAAGCACTCCACCAACACCACTGTGTGTTAAAGCTGAGTTTGGT